ATTTATTCATCTCCTTATCTATGTCCTTTTTCTTATTTTGTCAATCATTTTAATAATTATTAAAAAAATCCTTTTTCTGGATTTTCTTCTTTCTCACTATCCTTATAGTATGTTTCTGTGTGGTTGTTGGCTTTTGGAAGAGTCATGTTGCCTTCTCATTTTTAATATTCCTGTTTCTTTGTTGAGATTTATGCACATGAGGGCAATTTCTTGGTTTTAACCCCGTACAGACTTGCATTTGAAGTATTTCTAGTGTCTACACCTGAGTTTCTAGTAGGAAGCAGGCAGTGTAGTTTCTCCTCTCTGGACTAGAGGAGATCTCAGTATCCAAATTTCTGTCCATTTTCTCCAGACAGCAGGGATGCTTCTTCAGCACTATTCCTATAGATGAGAGTTAGCTGGCCTTGGTTGTATTTTATTGTCTGTGGATTGCTGTTATATGTGAACTGACTATGGGATAGCCACGGGCCAATCACTCATTTCAGTGCTGCTTCCATCTCAGAATCTTCCCTCATTTGTAAACTGGAAGCTACTATTGATTGCTCAGCGATTTTTAGTCTATGTGCCAAGTGGGAACTTTCCCACTTGCTCTCAACTTTCAGGTTGTTCTTATAATGTGCCTGATGGTGTGTGTGTATGTGTGCGTGGGTGAGTGAACATAGTGGTAGAGAACTGATGGAATTCAGGTTCCTGTCTGAAGGTCTTGGTTCTTTAAGACCCCACATAGCATGTTATCTGTGGAAAGGATGAGACTGGAGGATATTGTTTGTGACCCAGTTCCTTTTTCCTCTTGGAGCTCTCAGCTTTGCTTGGCAGCTATTCCTCAAAGTCATAAATATAGCTCCTGGTGCTAAGTACTCTGCCAGCCATAAGTTTGATAGAGACAGATTTAGAGAGAGATATACACACACAGGGTAATGTAGTTTCTGTCCCCTATATGTGGATTTCTAGTTTTCTCAGAACTATTCATTGAAGAGGCAAACTTCTTTTTTTTTGGTCATGTGGCTTGAACTCTGGGCCTGGGCACTGTCCCTCAGCTCTTCAGCTCAAGGTGAGTACTCTACCACTTGAGCCACAGTGCTACTCCCGGTTTTCTGGTGGTTAATTGGAGATAAGAGTCTCACGGACTTTCCTTCCTGGGCTGGCTTTGAACTGCAATCCTCAGATCTCAGCCTCCTGAGTAGCTAGGATTACAGGCATGAGCCACTGGTACCCAGCTCTGTCTTTTTTCTATTATTTCTGTCTACATATCTGCTTTTGTGCCATGATGTTTCTATCTGCAGAATAATGTCAGGTATTTGCTCTTCTTGCTTAGGGTTGCTTTGTCTATTTGGGCACTTTGTGTTTTCATACAAGTTTTAGGATTGCTTTTCCTTTGCTTTTCTTTTTTCTCTCTCTTTTTTAGTTGGTTGTGGGGCTTGAACTCAGGGCTTGGGTGCTGTCCCTGAGCCTCTTTGGGCTCAAGGCTAGTAATCTACCACTTGAGCTATAGCACCACTTCTGTTTTTTAATTTTTATTTTTTTATTTGTTGGTTGTGGGGCCTGAACTCTGGGCTTGGGTGTGCTGTCCCTCAGCTCTTCAGCTCAAGGCTAGCGCTCTACCACTTGGCTTTTTCTGCTTATGTGGTGCTGAGGAATTGAACACATGGCCTCATGCATGCAAGGCAAACACTCTACCACTGAGCCAACTTCCCAGCCCCACTTCTGGTTTTTGAGTGCATAATTGGAGATAAAAGTCTCATGGGGACTTTTTATGTCCGGGCTGGCTTTGAACCCTGATCCTCAGATCTTAACCTCCTAAGTAGGTAGGATTACAGGCATGAACCACCAGTGCCCAGCTTCTTCTTCTTCTTCTTCTTTTTTTTTTAATGAAGAATGACATTTGTGTTTTATTGGGGATGGCATTGAATGTCTAGATGGTTTTCTGTAGTATAGTCATTTCACAATATTACTTCTGCTGATTCATGAGCATGAGCAGTCTATCTTCTAGTATTTTCTTAGTTTCTTCAGTATTTTGTTTAAAGGTCAGTTTTTCATCACAAAGGTTGTTCATATACCTAGTTCAGTTTATTTTTAGGTATTTTATTGTTTGAAGCTGTTGTAAATGGAATAGTTTTCTGATTTCTTTCTTATGCTGTTCATTATTGGTATATAGAAAACTTACTGATTCTATATGTGTACATGTGAGCATGTGCATGTGTGTGTGTGCGTGTGTGTGTGTGTGTGTGTGTGTGTGTGTGTGTGTGTGTACATTCCATCTTGTTACTTTACCAAAATGTTGTCAGTTTAAGAGTTTTTTTTGGTGGAGTCTTTATGGCCTTTTACATATGATGCCATATTATCTGCAAATAGGAATGATTTGAATTCTTTCATATTTGTATCACTGTTATTTTTTTTTTCTTGCTTGTTGCTTTAACTAAGAATTAAAGTACTGTGATTAAGAATGGTCTTGTGCCCATTTCTTTCATTTTGGTTAAGTATTTTCTTTTTTTTTTCTTTTGTGGGAGCTGAACTCTGGGCCTGGACGCTGTCCCTCAGCTCTTCAGCTCAAGGCTAGCACTCTACCACTTGAGCCACTGTGCCACTTCTGGCTTTTTTCTGCTTATGTGGTGCTGAGGAATAAAACCCAGGGCCTCATGCATGAGAGGCAAGCACTCTATCACTAAGCTGCCTTCCTAACCCTGGTTAAGTATTTTTGATCTTATTTATCTTCTCAAACAACCAATTACTTGTTTCATTATTTTCATGATTAATTCTTTCCAACTACGTTTACTTGCTCTTATTTTCTGTGAGCTTGAGTTGCATTATTAAATTAGTTATTTAAAGTCTGTTTCCTTTTAAGTTTTAAATTTGAATTAGTGTACATTTGAGATAGGCACAGGTTTCATTGTGGTATTTTCATACTTAAAACAGTGAACTTTGAGCTGGTGCTGGTGGCTCATGCCTGTAATCCTAGCTACTCAGGAGGCTGAGATCTGATGATCATGGTTCAAAGCTAGCCCAGCAGGTAAGTCCTTGAGACTTTTTTTTTTGGATCCAGTCGTGGGGCCTGAACTCTGGACCTGGGCACTGTCCCTCAGTTCTTCAGCTCAAGGCTAGCGCTCTACCACTTGAGCCACAGCGCCATTTCTGGCTTTTTTCTTTTTGCTTATGTGGTGCTGAGGAATTGAACCCTGGGCCTCATTCATGCAAGGCAAGTGTTCTACCGCTGAGCCACCTTCCCAGCCCATCCTTGAGACTCTTTATCTCCAATTAACTGGCTAGAAAAATGGAAGTAGTGCTGTTGCTCAAGTGTTATTGCACTAGACTTGAGCTGAAGAGCTCATGGCCAGCGCCGGGCCCAGAGTTCAAGCCCCAAGACTGACAAAAACAAAACAAAACAAAACAAAAAACCAGTGAACTTTGAACATATTCTCCTTTTCTACCATGTTATCAATCCTCTTCTCCTTTATCTTCTCTTTTTTAAGTATTATTTCTTGGGTTTCAATATTTGTGTATATGTACATAATATATGTTTATGCATATACACATATATGTATACAAACACATATGTGAACATACATATGTTTTCACACATGGATATATGTGTGTACCTATTATGTGTATACCTATACATATGTATACCTCTCCTTTGCCTCAAAGGTTCTGGTAAGTTGTGTTTTCAGAATTTTTCTGATATTTTCCCATACTCTTTTGATGACCCAGTGATTATGCATATGTGTAGATTAGTCTCCATGTTTTTGTATATTTTCTGTAGTGTTTCTTTTTCATTTCCAATTCTGTTATGGTCTGAGATTTTTCTTTATGTTCTCAAATATGATCTATTTTTCAGATGGTTTTGTGGGCTGCTGAGAGTATGTATCCTGTTGGTGTTGAGTGAAATATTTTCCGAAATATCTGTTAAGTCTGTTTGATAAAGTAGCACTCAATTCTGAAGTTTCTTTGTTGATTTTTTAAATTTTTAGTTATTTTTGAGGCCAGCATGTTTAATAAAGTCTCAAATCAGAACAAAAGAAAACAAATACAAATAAAATGAGAAAACCTTAATTCACCAATTGTAGCTGAACAAGAAGCAACCATCTACACTGATAGCAGGGATTGGGGGCCAATCTATTTACCTGTGTCTACTTGGTAACTCTTCAAGATGTTTTTCTCATACCAGTTGCAATTGGCTGTTCTCCAAGAACACTGGAGTCACAATGATAGATATGAAAATAAAGAGCTGTCTCAGCAAGGCAAAATTTACTCTGCAAAAGAGTTCACCATCAGCCAAAAACCTGGCAAGCCAGCACACAGGTAGGCTGCTCCCCTATTTATCCCCTCTGCTTAGATTGGTTGTGCTCAGGTTCACAAACTGCTTGTGATTAGCTAGTTTGAATAGGGTAAAATGTATTTACATAAGGTGACTTTGAAATACAACTAACAATATACAACTAATCTCAAAATATACCCATACCCTCCGTTATGTTTTAGACAACCCGTGGTGTGTCTTAATTCCATCTTGAAAAGAAACCAGTTTAAGATAAAACCTTACATTTCAAAAATCCTTCCTAATCCCAAAGTAGTTCCTCTTTTCCTTAACAAGAGCCAAGTCACCAGGCCAAGGCAGAATCTTCTAAGCAACACACTTTGATAGAAAGGACAATTTTTCTCACATTTCCCCCACTCTTTCTTATTTATTTATTTATTGTCATGGGGCTTGAAGTCTGGGTCTGGGCACTGTCCCTCAGCTCTTCAGCTCAAGGCTAATGCTCTTCCACAGTGCCACTTCTGGTTTTCTGGTGGTTTATTGGAGATTAGAGTTTCAGCTTCCTGAGTAGCTAAGATTACAGGTGTGAGCCCCTAGTGCCTGGCTCCCACTCTTATTTTGTATGGTTTTCTTCAAGTTCTTTTAACCTTGATCTCCACATGAATTTGTCCTACAATACCCAATTAAAGCCATTGTTCCAATTGCAACAATGAGTGGCATTAGAACTGAGGTCTACATTCCAGTTGTTTACCTCTGAATTTTTAGTCGATGGTCCTATCTGGGACTGCATTTTTGAGGAAGAAGGTAAAACCTTCATCCCTTAATTAAGACACATGCCCCCATTTTTCCTGGTAGAATAATCTTAAGAACTATCCAGTTTTCCTATGCCATCTTGCTAGGCGGATGTAATTATTTCTGGCCTTATTCTTAGTTTTTGAGTTAAATATTTACCCCTCCCCATGTATCACCATTCCTTCTCTCTTCTCCCCACTTTCAAACAGTTCTTGGTGGATTTAATTATGCTGCACACACACACACACACACACACACACACACACACACACACACACACACACAAATACACATATATACCTTCCAATTCCCTTCACCTCTTGGTACTCTCCTTCTCTCCTTCCCCTTCCCTCAGATCCCCTTCTAGACAGTCCCCCTTTTACATTTTATGTCCAGTACCATTACTTTAATCATCATAAACCATTTGGATTCTGATGCTACTTGTTTCCAATAACTTGGTCAGTTTTCTTATCCCTATGACGATGAGAGACTTAGTAGATAAATTCTTTATTTTTATTTCAAACTAGAATATTTGCATTCAGTTTTGTAGAAAATAAATTAACCTCTTAAATGCCTTAGCAGGATCTGTCCTTTTCAATACGTATTTCCATGGAAGATGAAACTTTATAATTTCTGAGTACAGATTAAGCTTCTAATTTGAGACTATACTACATTTATTTACTCAGAAACAATTTCTGGAGCAAGTTGCTGTTTACCAGACAGAGGAAAGGCTTCGCTGAGAACCCATTTTAGTGAAGGGAAGTAAAGAACAAGACTTGAGAATAATTGGGGCAATAGTTTTTTTAGGGGAGGACACATGAAGACCAAATAGCTTTTTACCACAAACGAGGAGGTAACAATGCTTGATAGGAAATGGACTCATTACCTTGTTCATGTAACTGTAACCCCTCTGTACAGTATATTTACAATAAAAATATATATTAAAGAAATAAAGGAAAATGTCACAATAAGGGTAATAAGTACTTTATATAAAAGTAAAAAAAAAATTAGGTTTTTACCCCACCCCCTTTTTTTTGTGATACTAGGGTTTGAACTCAGGGACTTACTCTTTTTTATTTTATTTTTGTATATTTTTTATTGTCAAGGTGATGTACAGGGAGGTTACTGTTATATAAGTAAGGTAATAAGTACATTTCTTGTCAAACTTGTTACCTCTTCCCTCAGTTTTCTCCTACTTTCCCTCCTCCCAACACCCCACCCCCAAGTTGTACAGATCATTGCCAACATATTGTCTTGTGTATATTGCTATTGCCCTGGTTTCCCCGTTGTCCTTTGTCTTACCATTCTGTTGTTCCCCTTCCCTTCCCAAGTAGTATATATCTAGGATAATCTTAGCAGATGAGCAGAAAGCTCAATAGCTATGTATATATGGCCATATAAAATGATGCTAAGCGAAATAAACTCCCAAGACATGGACACAAGAGGTTATTCTTTGTTGTTGTTTTTTAATATACTATGTGATTTGTTGTTTCTTTTGTGTGTTCTTCCCCCTATGGTATATCCCCTGTTGTCACTGTATTTGATTTTGGTATGCTGGTATTGTATATATGTTTATTTGAATTAGGGAAGGGATTTATTCTTGCTAGTCAAGAATAATCAATAACATCAAATAATACTTTGAGCCTCCACTTTTTTTCTTACTGTTTGTTTTTTTGTGCTAGTCATGGGCTTGAACTCAGGGCCTGGGTACTGTCCTTAAGCTCTTTTGTTCAAAGCTAGCACTCTACCACTTGAGCCACAGCTCCATGTCTAGATTATTTTGGTGATTAATTGGAGTTAAGAGTCTCAGGGACTTTCTTTCAGGGCTGGCTTTGAACTATGATTTTCAGATCTTAGCCTGAGTAGCTAGGATTGAAGGCCTGAGCCAGTGGCACCCAGCTTGGACTGGTTATAATTAAGATGGGTTCTTGAAAACTAGTCTGTGACTTTGAAACTTGTACCACCCATAAAATTCTACTTCAATTTGTTTTGAGTTGAGAAAAATATATATATTTGTTCTTGGTCTTCCAGACCAAATTCACTATCTCCTACTTTATGCCCAGTCCGTATGCTAAGATCAGTGAATCTGAATGTGTTTTGTTTTAATGCAGTTAGAATTGGTCCTGAGTCTAATGTCTTGACCAACATCCAACTTTCCTAGTCTTATCATCTCTTATCCTTGAAGATGACTTTGCAATACCATTCTGCGTTCTTCCTAGATTTGATCCTAGAAACCACATTTTGTCTTTTGGTACTTTGTGCCCCTGCCCCCCAACACTTGAATTAGATTGAATACACATACCGACTGAATCATGTCACTGATGAAGGGAATGCTCATCATTCCCTTTCTCAAGGCCGCATCTCTGTCTATGGTCAGTTACTTTTATTCTAGATCTATACAGCCTGGCTTTTAGATCTGGAAAAATACTATTTACGAAGTACAGCTTTTCCCAAGGCCAAACAGTCTCCACAAAGCTCCCTTCATGTCCTTGTTTCTTAGGCTGTAGATAAAAGGATTTAACATAGGGGTGACCATTGTATATACAATAGATGCCACCATTCCAGTATCTGCAGAATAGGAGGATGAAGGCTGGAAATAAACCAGAAATACAGTTCCATAGAAGAGAGTGACAACTGTCAGATGAGAACCACAGGTGGAGAAGACTTTATGCTTCCCCCCAGCAGAGGGAATCCTGAGGATGGTGTGTATGATGTGAGCATAAGAGACCAAGACACAGACAAGAGGGACCACACCCGAGAGGGCAGTGTCAGTGAACATCATGAAATGAAAGGTGTGGGTATCTGAGCAGGCAAGTTTAAGTAGGGGAAGAAGATCACAGAAAAAATGTGGGATGGAATGGGAGGCACAGAAGGAGACTTGAGCCATCAGGAGAGTGAGGGAAAAAGCTAGGAGGTTGGAGAAGAGCCAGCAGGTAGTCACCAGCAGCAGGCATCGTTGGAGACACATGATGGTGGTGTAATGCAGAGGAAGGCAGATGGCCACATAGCGATCGTATGCCATCACAGCCAGCAGGAAGTCATCCAGCAGCGCCAGGGCCATGAAGAAGTACATCTGCACGAGGCACCCAGTGCGGGAGATGGTGTGGTGCCGTGTGTGAATGTTCACTAACACTTTGGGGACAATGGTACAGGTGAAACAGGTATCAATAAAGGACAGATTGGCCAGGAAGAAGTACATAGGGGTGTGGAGGTGCTGGTCACAGCCAATGGCCAGGATGATGAGCAGGTTCCCCAAGAGGGTGACCAGGTACATTCCTAGGAAGAGCCCGAACAGAAGGGTTTGCTGCTCTGGATGTTCAGAAAAGCCCAGGAGGAGAAAATCAGAGATGGTAGTTTGATTCCTAATGTCCTTCAAAGGTAGAGAGATCAAAGGAAATTCTAAGTAAATAAACTAGGCAGAGTCCAAGGATTTTGCTTTTTCCCTTTTCCTTGGGGAAATTAATGAGACTGGCTCGCGATTATGAAGTTCCTTGTTATCAGACTGATCTTGGTCAACTATTCAATCACTCTGAATTTCTGTTTCCTACTTTGTACCAGTGTAACTTCTTTATTGAGTATTGAAGCTGTTTTTGAGATAATGTGTGTGGAAATCAGTTCATCATGGACCATTATGATGATGGTCATTATTATTAGCTACTTCATTTTTATATTTTGCAATATAAGAGAAACCCTCAGACCAGAAGCTTTTCATTTCTATTCCTCATATGACTCCTATGTTTAGGATTTTTAAGTTCCTTTTGAACTTTGCTTTTCTTACCTAAAATATAGACAGTAATCTTACCTGATAGATTTGTTGAGGGGGCCAAAACCTGGAGTCATTGGCAGTTTCTTCATGAATCATGATGTACAATCAAAATGAGAAGTTCTAGCATTCCTTTTTCATGGAGTAGAGAAAAAAGTTGATCATTCAGTGGTGGCAGGTGCTAATGTCATGCTTGTTTAATTTGGTGATTAAAATATAGTATTTTTATTATATTAATATAAGATATTGATAGATTGGACTTTTTATTTATGAAAGCCAAATTAAATACCATTGTAAACTATTCGGAATAAAGGTGGTTCATAAGGTCTTAGTAAATACTATGCATTTTTATTATTGTTATTTTCAGTAAGAGAGGGTGTTTTGTTCTTACTATTGGCAACAGCTTTAGTGCTAGCCTTTAAATTGTGAGTTGTCTGTATTAAGAGTCACCAACACCACTCTTATCAGCAGCACAGCTAATGAATGATCATGATTTTACTCAGAACTATCAATGGAAAAACCTTCTTTTTTGAACATCTAAAAGCTTCATTATCATTGTCATTGGTAAGAACACGGACATTCGAATCATTACTAAATGACCCCATGCTGCTGACCACATATATGGCATATATGTACACATTGGAGGGAAACTAGGAGGAGGACACAGAACCAGAGGGAAACGAGAAAACAAAACAGCGGGACGCATCAACTGCACTGGACATTGATTAAAACGAACTAAGCAACTCAATGGCAGCGATGGGAGGGAGGGAATGAGTGGGAAAGAGGCACAGCTGACACGAAGCAAAAGGAAAGGAATGTACATATCACCTGATACGGAAGAAATAACTGCATTGTCAAAGCTCATAGAACTCATAAACTTTATATACTATGATAAAGACAATTTGCCCTATGAAGGTTAGAATGTGTTTGTGACTTTAACTAAATATCACTATCCCACAATACTGTGAAATTTGTGAAATTTATGTAATCACTTAATCACAATAAAAATTGCCAAAAAAGAACACAAACACTGGGCTTAGACAACCTACACTCAATGCTAAAAACACTTATTTTGGCATCTGGAACCCAAGTCTAGATTGGTCAAACAACGTTATATGCATGTGCTTGCTTATGTATAGATGGCGGACGTGGGCATTAGGTGGATTCTGTTTTCTCTGTCTGTTACTGTACTTTGTTCTTACCTGGATGTGCGGACCAGCTTCACCTGGAAGATTGAGTTTACCACCCCATTATCACCCCAAGATAACATGGTGAAGTCACAGAGCTCATCCTGTATGCTGGAATAGCACAGACCAGAGTCTTATACCCCTCGTGATACATCATGCATAACTATCAGGAGGATCTGCTGGGCTTTCATATGCATGTCTCCAGGGATTCAATCCCAGAACTGCTTAGTTAGACGAGATGGAGCAATAGTCCAATGGCTGGCTCTCCCCTCTGGACTGTGGTCCTCTGCGTCTCTTCCATGTCTTCAATGCCTCCAAATTGACCAGATCTGGGAATAGCTGGGTGATGGCTCCTGCTTTTCCCTTGGATGACCAGCAGGTTGGCTTTGTTGTCCTCAACCCTTAAACTGAGCAGAGCTCTTCCCTGCCTGCCACAGAAGTCAGTTTCTAATAAGAGCCCAATATTCATGGATAGACATAGTGTGTTACAGGAAAGTCCTTTCCTGAATTCATGAAGGTATTTTCAGTGATAATTAAAAAAATAATTTGCCTTAAACAATTAGCTGTTTACTTTGTTTAGAATTATTATTATTATTATTAATAATAGTAGTCTTGCTGCGGAATGAATCTAGGACCTCTTGCTTGCTAGGCAAGTTACTTCCCTCGCTACAGAACTGTCATGTATGATATGAACGGTGGGGAGAGGACTACTTATTATTGTTAAGTTTTAAATAATATACCATATTATGGATTCTAGTGGTGCATCTATAGACTAATTACAATGAATTACAGGAAAATGTCATCTGTGAATAAAATGAAGATTTTTTTCTTTCTTTCTCTCTCTCTCTTTCTTTCTTTCTCTCTCTCTTTCTTTCTTTCTTTCCTCTGTCCTTCCTCCCTCCCTTCCTTCTTTCTCCATCCTTCCTTTTTCTCCTTCCTTCCTTCCTTCCTTCCTTTCTTTCTTTTCTTTCTTTCTTTCTTTCTTTCTTTCTTTCTTTCTTTCTTTCTTTCTTTCTTTCTTTCTTTCTTTCTTTCTTTCTTTCTTTCTTTCTTTCTTTCTTTCTTTCTTTCTTTCTTTCTTTCTTTCTTTCTTTCTTTCTTTCTTTCTTTCCTTTCTCTCGTCATGGGGCTTCAACTCTGGGCCTGGGCGCTGTCCCTCAGCTCTTCAGCTCAAGGCTGGTGCTCTACCACTTGAGCCACAGCGCTACTTCCAGTTTTCTGGTGGTTAATTGCAGATAAGAGTCTCATGGACTTTCCTGTCCAGGCTGGCTGTGAACCTCGATTCTCTGATCTCAGCCTCCTGAGCAGCTAGGATTACAGAAGTGAGCCACTGGCCCCCAGCTAAGATTCCTTTCTTTATAGTACTGATACCTTTTATGTTTCTTGTCTTAATGTAGTGGTTGGAGCCAAATAAATTGTAAAATAGTTGTGGTAACAACTGACACTTTATCTCATTCTTAATTTAGACAGGGGATGTTTTATTATGATCTCTAAATAGTTGTGCAGAGTAGTTTCAATTCAACTTGTCATTTTTTCCATCTTTCTCCCTCCCCCCATATATCCCAAGCCTGCCATTCCCTTAAGATACATAGTTCTATTTTCATGTATGTACATTGAATATTATGACAGTATTCTCCCATCATTCCTCTCTCTGTTCACCCACATTTTCTGTTTAACCTATATCTCCCTCAGATAAGATAGATTTCAGTTCCTGGTATTCACTTTATTAAACTGTCTATAAATTGTTCAGAGGAGTTATACCACAGGAATCCACATTTGCATACATCATATTTAGTCAGTTTGATTGTGGATATATGCGTATGGTCCTATATGTGATTTCACATATGTTTACATGTGAAACTATAGGTAGTTTCTACATATGTGAAAAAACAACGCTCTCTCTCTGATCCTGACTTAATCACTCAATGTAGTTTTTCTATGTTCATCCATTTCCCTGCAAGTAACACATTATTATTCTTCCTGATGGATGAATAAATCCCATTACTTGATCCACTCATCTGGTGTAGGGTGCAGAATTGTTTCTATAACTTTACTGTGCTGAATAGTGTAGCAATTAACATGAGTATGAGGGTTAGACTAGGGAGGTTTAAATGTCTCACTATTAAATATAATATTTGCTATATATTTGAAGAAAGGGTACCTTTTTTAAAAAAAAGAATAAGTGGATTTTCTCCTATCCCCACTTTGTTGAAGAATTTTTAATGAGTAGACGTTGAGTGTGTCAAATAGTTTTACTTGCATTTATTGAAATGTTTTGTCCATTTTCTATTAATATATTGAGTTACTTTAATTTTTCAGTTTATCAACCTTGCATTTTTGAGACATATTATAAGTTCTGTGTTGTCATTGCATTGCTAAAGTCTTATTCTGGTGCATTTATACTGATGAGTAAGATTTTCTTGTTTTAGTTCTTTTGCAATATTTTCATTGGTGTTTGGATTGTAGTTGTCCATAGTCTCATGAAGGGAGCTGGTGAATAGTAATTCCTTGTCCCTATTCTTAAAAGGCTTTCTGCTAAGTTCTTCTATTGGTGTTTAATTTTTTTTATTCTTTGTCTTTTCTGGATATTTATCCTCTATTGGATGAATAGCTGGCAAAATGTTCTCCAATTGTATGGGCTATCACTTCACTCTGTTGGCTCCTGTGCTGTATAGCAAGGTTTTAATTTGATACACTCTCTTTGGTCAATTTTTATTATCTCACGACCCCTGGAATCATCGACTCTGCCTATGTCTTGGTTGTTTGCCTTAAGTTTTCCTCTGATTATCTCAATATTTCTGGTCTTACCTTATGGTCTTTGATCCATTTTGAGTTGGTTCTGGAACAGTTTGGGAGGTAGAGATCAAATTTCAGACTTCCACATGTGGATATCCAGTTTTTTGAGCAAAACTTGCTCAAAAATCTGTCTTTTTCCCAGTGTATCTTTTTGGGTATAGCTTCATTGATTTATTCCTGTGTCCAAGAAGGGTCACTGGAATTAAGTCAGGCTCTCTCTGTAACTTCTGGTGTGCATTAGACCTATACTTCCCCAGGACTGTGATTCAGTTGGTTTATTATATTTCTTTTTTTTTTTTTTTGTAAAATTCTATTTTATTTTTTTTATTGTGAAAATACTGTACAGAGGGGTTACAATTACATGGGCATGATAATGAGTACATTTCTTTTTTTTTTTAATTTAATTTTATTTTATTTGAGAACATAATGTACAGAGGGGTTACAATTACATGGGCAGGATAATGCATACATTTCTTACCAAGCATTGCAGCCTCCTCCTTTGTTCACCCTTCACCTCCCTTCCCAGCCTCCCCCCTCCCCCCCACCCAATCCTTCCCCCCCTCCCCCCCCACCGACATTGTAAAGCTCGTTTTTGACATGACATTTTGTACTTCTCATTGTTGCAACAGGGGTTTATTATATTTCTATAACATTGTAATCAAGTACACATACGCTACCTTAGAAAACTTTGAGGGCATGTTTGGTCAGTTGTCACTTTTGGATAAGGGAAGAAAGAGATGCAATGTTGTTCGACAGGCTGCTGCTGGAAGGAATGTGAGCCTTTGAGCAGTGTGTGCCACAGCTGCTTCTGTCTATAGACAGAGCTGGGCATAAGCAAGAACACCATTCCTACCATGCCTCGAATTTTCCTGTGGCCTGCTTGAGCTGGAGAATCAGCATTACCACCCTGAATTCTATTCCAGTGGTTTACATGTCTGTTTTTTGTGGCACTACCAGGCTGTTTTGGTTGCTACGTCTACTCATTTAATAGTTAACATTCAACAATAAAATCACCATTCATGAGATAAAAATGGTTTCTTTCAGATTTATTTGTATAACTTTGTGCTGTAGACATTTCTACCTGGAGTCTTTTTTTTTTTTGTAGTAAGATTTTTG